ATTATGTGTTCTCTCAATGTAACACGAAATGGCTCTGTACTTTATATTTCTGGAATATAAAGTCATAATAACAGGTAGAGCAAAATGACAGATGGCCTTTGGTTTGACAGATGAATCCAAAGGCACGCCAGGTGCTTAGATGTTAGTTCTTAAGGACTTCTAGGTACAGCTGATCAGAAATACATACGTACAGTCCCTCAATTGGAAGGAAGATTGAAGAAAATTAAGCTTCTTCAAGGGGTTGGATAGGGTGGGGTGTGGTTATATTCTGCAATAAAAGTACCAAAGTCAGGAGCTGATTATCAGTCTGTAATTATCTCAGCTCTTAAGAAAACTTCTTCCTTTTCCTTTAGGATCTTTTATTGTTCGTTAGCTACTCCACCCACAGGCTCAAATGGACAGGAAAAGAAGGTGAATAAAATGTTATCTTAGCCGCCCTGCTAATACACTTGGTGGGAAAGAAAATATAAACAATTGGACTGTTTCTGGTTACCTGTGAATTTAAATCCTTTTGGCTCATCCCTTTTTCCAAATTATTACCAGCTGGCCTACTGATTGCCAGTAAAATTAAAGTAATCTTGTATTTTTAAAACTACATAATCTTCCAGAAATAGGCCTTGGAAGCTTTCCTTCCTAATTTACCAAGGACACAGTGAGGGCAAAGCAAGCACCATCTCATCTTATCAGCGTCCTCCCCATCTCCTTCCTCCCCTCACCACCAATTCCTAAGTGCACATGAATAGAATTGTTTGAAAAATATTTTTGAATGTAGGTAAGAAATTATTTTACATTAACTTAAAACAAGTAGAATAATCACAATTATACAAATGGACCCAAATGGAAAATCTGTGAAAATAGAGACTTAAGTGCTATGGATTGTATCACAAATTTTCATAGTTGCTTCAGTAGAATAGCTATGAACCCTTCCACCAAGCAATCACAGTCCAAAAGTTGAAAACAAGTTCCGTTCACATGTGTTTAAAATGTCTGGGAAAGAAACTATGCATGTGCAAAGCAAAATAGCCAGATACTGATAAAGCCAGCTGAAAGCAATTCTCTAGGCCTCTTGCTAAATAACTTGAAAGTAGATGGGTGTTGAGTTGGGAGCGGGGCAGAGGGTGAGAGCATTAAAAAGTACCTGTTGAATTAGAACGATTATCAATGGCATCTGTGCAGATTACTAGGCACTTCAATGGAGTGTGGGGGTGGGGAAGGGTGAATATTTGTTCTGCGCTGTCTGGGCTGCTGATAATCAGAGCAAGCCAGAATGGCAGAAAAGTTTTTCTCTGTGGCTGAGAAAGCAACACAGGCTGGTGTTTTCCCTGCGGGGCCCTGGGTCAGGAGTAACACTAGCAGCTTAAGGAGAACGCCTTATCTTTGATCTCTGTTAACAATTAACCAAAGGCTTTTCCTTCTAGAGCTCTACTAACACAGAAGCAGGTGGTCCTGGAAAACAATGCCGTGAGGAGGCCCCAAACGGTCAAATGTAAATGCCTGGGTAGAGTTCATCAGTAATTGAAATGGGTGGGCTGAGAGAATCTTCTCCCTTTCCTTAGGGGTTTAAGTGTAAGACTTAAAAATCTTACTCTAAATTATATCTTGACTTAAATGTACTATGCAATAGGGATTAAGTTGGTGAGTCAATGATGTATTTTCATAAGGGGGTCTATTTTAATATATAATTTTTAGCTAGGTTATGTACAAAATACTGTGAGGCCCAGCTATCCAGGTCTGGGAAAACCATTATGATTAGAAAGAGAAGGAATATCAGCAATTAGAAGAACAATATCAGTAAAAAGACTCCCCAACGATTCAAAATGGCAAACTCTTTAAACCAACAGGATGGAAAAAAACACAGTGGTGGCGACTTTACCCGTGGATTGAAGTATATATACTGTAGGGGAGGGGAAAATTCTCCCTTCTACCCTTCTTAAGTTCTCAAGCCTGACACTGCCTGGACATTTCCTGCTCCAACGAGTTTGTTCCTGACTGCCCTCCCCCCACCTCAAAGACTCCCTGGCTAACATCAGTTTTCTCATAGCTTATCAACCAATTAATGTTCTTCTTTATATCTGTAGCTGTGTAGGGATGACAAGACTGTATAAAACTGCCTGTTATGTTACAAGCGGGGCTCAGCCTGTGGATAAGAATCTGCTGAGCCGGTGCCGGCATCAATAAACGCTGCTTCCTGCTTATAGCCTCTGTGTTCCGTCTCTCAGTTGGAGAATCCCGCAACATTTATGGATGGACTAATAATAAAATTGAAAAACACCAGATTAAAAAACAATTTAATATGTGTACATAGAGATCATGAATGATAGAGGAATAATGAACCAATCCAGCTTTTTATATATTTTTAGACAAAAAAAAGCCCAAAACAAAACAATAAATTCATGAATATTTGACAGAACAAAGAAACTTAGGTTTGGATGCTCATTTGTAAGGAATCTAAACAGAAAGAGGGCCTAGCTAGTAAATTAGTTAAAAAAAAAAAAAAAAGGTTTGTTTATATAGGCTTATAAGCCCTAGATTCTTAACCTCTAGACATAAGTGTTTCTCTCCACCCCGTTGGAGCAAGGAGAGTACCTTTCACAAGGGAGATTTATTCCTGCATTCAAGGAGGGTCAATATGCCCTTCTTTCACTGGCTTCTGGTCAAGTAACTTTAATTCAAAGTAATCAATATGTCATTGTGGAATACTTTAGAGCAGCCTCCCCTGAGCCCTGACAATACTTAACACACAGCCCTCTAGCAGCAGGCCTATGGAGGTTTCTGGCTTCAAAGGAAGTCTTTAAAAAAAGAGGGGAGTGGTACTTGGCTTTTGTGGACCATCTCAGAGACTTGTAGGAGAGCAAATTCAACACCTCCAAAATGTGTCTCTTGGGAATAAGGATGATCGTAGGCTGATTATTTTCAAGAAACTGCAGACATAGGAAAAGCTCCCCAAACTGAGTAGAAGTTATGCTTTGGTAAGGACAATTTACCTTTCTGAGGAAAATCTCCATTAGTAGAGGTGTCTCCCTCACCTTACCAGGAAGAGGAAGATGACCTTCCCTCTAGAAACTCTTACCAATGCAGAAGGCAATGACAAATCTGCATAATGACCTTATTCTCTTTTGTGAGGCTTTTCTTAGTAACCTCTTATAATTGACTCCTCACCCCCAATATCTTTTGTCTTTAGCTGGCAACATTATTTAAGGTGGTGGCTTCTGCCATTTCAGAGTCACTCAGTTTTCCTGGGTCTATACCCTGTGTATAGAAGGTATATATCACATTAAACTTTAACTTGTTTTCTTCCTGCTAATCTGTCTCATGTCAATTTGATTATTAGACCAGCCAGAAAAACCTAGACAGGTAGAGGAAAATAAGTGTATAGAATTGCTTTTAAAACATGTCTACTGGCCTGGATATATATATATACTCCCAAAGTCAGTGAAAAAGATAAATAAAAATAAGCAAGTATCATAACTATGTACCGCGTGCAAATAGGGAAAAGAATGTTGGGGAAAAAATAGCCTCAAGTCAGAGTGAGTCAGAGTTGGTCAGGCCAGGAATATCATTTTTCACCGTGTATGTAGCTCTGGGCTTTCAGGTCCTTGCTTTCATCTTGCTTTCCAACATAAAATGTAGGAGAGAGTTTTATACAGAAAGATAGGGTAAGCCTCCAATTCTTGCATGATTTGGTACTATTTTGGGTGAAATGTACTCACTAACAAATTATGTTGGCAGAGCAAGGCCCATCCCTGCATGGAAAACCTGTGATCCTGAGAGGGAAGGGCCAAGGACTTGATGCTGACCTCATTCTCTGTCTCTTCATGCTCTCGGTAACCCCGATGACAGCTCTCAGCCTCCTAGCTCTCTACTTCCCCATCCGGAATGATTTTACTCTAGATAGATCTTCTAGTTACAGGGTCAGGTGTAGGATCTATGACACCGTTTCTCTCAAATTCTTTGAGACTCTCCAAAAAAAAAAAAGTCACGGGGAAAAAAAAAAAAAAAGACAAGAAAAAATCCAAATACTAAACTACTACAAAGAAAGAAAACTCTCCCTGGTATTTTCTTCTATCCAGGAAAAAACTATGGCAAATTATAACTAAAAATTCTGAGTGACTTTAAAATAAGCAGTGAGTTTTTCTTTGCTTCTCCATTTCTCCACAAAAGAAGAACTGCAGACGGAACCAATGAATCATCTCATCAATGACACTGCTTCAAAACTCAGGCTGAAGCAAAGAGCAAGGGGGCCGGAGCAGCCAGCAGTGTAGCTGGAAGTACCCAACATTATAGTGGGTCCTTTCTGGTATTAATTAATATTGCCTGGAGCTTTAAGGAATATGGGAGTGGGGAAGCTTATACTTGTGCCATTTATTATTTTTTTTTAAGTGAGTTCTTATAATTAAGAACTATTGTTGGCACCATAGGGGGCTTTGCCAAATACTGGCTGGCCTGGCCTTGTTAGTGTCTTCCCTTAACTTCAAATTCAGGCCAGCTGTAGCCCCTCCTCTCATTCTGGGCTCTGCAGCAATGTCAGAGAGGAAGCCTAGAGTAGCATCTATATTGGCACCTCAAGGTCATGGTCCAAACTAGAGTTTTCCAACACATGAAGACTCAAAATTTGCATGAGCATAGTCAAGGCTCTGAGTAGCTTGATCAGTTTGACTGTAACTCAAAATTTCCATGACTTATCTATACAAGGCACCTCTTCTTGATGTCACCCCAATCAACAAACTGCCGAGCAGTCAAGAGAAGGCAAGTCGTTTGGAGAAATACTAGTCTAAACCCATCATAGATGCTAGAGAGTAATTTTTCTATTTCAAACACCAAAACTAATGAATTAAATTTACTTGGAGTCGCTCTAAGTTTGTTCTTCAGCTGGAAGTATCAATATGGAATTTATTCTCCAGAAAGTAAAATCACACCCACTAATGGCACACAGCAGCTCTCTGAATTTACCAGGAGCAATGAGACACACAGTGTTGGGAGCACGGCTCTGCTTTGGTTACCTGTGGCTCCTGGTCATGACCGGTGGGATCCCTCTCATAGCTCTCTGCATACAGCCTGATGGTGGCCCGCACGCCACTGGAGGAACTGAGCCGGAAGATGAGCCTTGAAGCATCTGAAAAAATGATCCTCAGACCCTGGGATCAAGAACATTCAGAATGGGTCAGCAAACAAATGAATACACAGGTGAAAATAATTAATATCTATTTTGGAGATCAGCGTATTTCTATGATCTAAAGATACTCAGGGTCATGACAATTTATAATTGGCTCTGGACACTCATCCAAGCAGGACAGTGAGGCGAACCTAGGGGCTTCTTAAGGTTATCCATTTGTCTCCTTATTCTATTTCTGTTGCCTTGTGGTTAATGCTGGGGGAGGGTTAGGAACAAAACTATGAACAGATGCTCAAGTTTTTTTGGTCTGGTGATGTGGGAATCAGAAAGAGGTAGAGGTAATAATGAAAGATATTTAATGTCCCTGGGGCCAAAGTTCATCCCTTGTAGACCTGGACGCAATGGAGGCAGGAAATTTATCTATTATAGTAAGACAAATTACCTGTGTTAAGGTTATTCCCATGTAATGTTAGGGTTTGCTTTAGGTTCATCTTCTCTGTGTTTCTGGTAGCAATGGAATCCTACAATGAAGTGCTCAGGGCTGGAGCCTCAGCTGGGTTCTAAAGGCTCTTGTGTACATCTTCATCCTTTTGGCTCTCTCTCTCCTTCTTATTCGGAAGAACTGGACAACAGGGTGAGGTGAGGGCAGAGCTATGGCTGCACCTCAGTGCTGCCCAGTGTTAATTTATTTTTGGCTCAGAATGTCCCCATTCTCCATGCATTTCTTATTAGTGGTAAAGATATTTTTAAAAAATATCTGTTAATAGATTGTTAGATAATGACTTCTTGGAACTTCTCTGGTCTCAAGTCCTGCTTGTTAAGAATAAACCATTATTAAATATATATCATACCTGTTACATAAATCTGACTACCAACCCCATACCCCATCCTGATCTGGTGATATCTGCTGGGGGTGGGGGTATGCCACTATGAATCCATCTGAGCGTTTTTCTGCTTTATAAGTTCTGTAGGCATATTTTGTTCCAATTCCAAAACAAAAAGCCTTAGTCTCTGTTGGAGTAGTTCAAGGTCTACCACAATTTGTTCAACAAAAAGGAGCTATTTCCCTTATGGCAACCTACCATTCTATGTTGCTAGTTTTGCAATAGGATGATGTTATCTAGAATTCATTTCTTGGGCAAATATTTTAGAGTGATCCTTAGGGATCAAGTATGTACAAAACCGTGGGTATATAAAGATAAAGACACAGTACTTGTTCTCCATAGGTCTGGAGTAGTCAATTACAATGAAGAGAAACCATTTTCTTAACCACTATATGCTGCCAGAGAAGTGAATAGTTAAATTCTAAATGGAGCAAAAGAAACAATTCCCTACTATTTAGAAAGAATGATATACCAAATTATGTTCAAACTGACAACAAAGCCCCCAAAGTTCCACAATTGTATTTATAACCACGTTTTTAAAAACTCTTTTGAAGCTGATATTTCTGTTTTAGCCTATTTTCCCATTGTCACTACCTATGGTGCACATGAGTTTGTAAGTCATTGCTCAGGACCATGGATTATCCATAAATTGGTTAAAGCAATATCTAAAGCTGAAGTCCTAAACCACCCATTGTTGCAGATTCCAAATCACGTGAAGCCACCTCTTCTGATGACCTCTCAGACTTAACCCTTTATGGGAGTTCCTATTACACAATTAGTCCCCCAGATTAGTTTACGGCCAGTGGGAAGTATTTAAAAATCCAGGTCATAACAAATCATCAACATGTATTATCCGCTCTTAATGAAGGCTTTTTTATAGTAAAATCATTGTTTTTTTCCTAAGGGTAGCCATATCTTTTGCTATACTCATGGAAGATTGGTTAGAATCTACAACTGGTAGCCTGGAATAGATTTTGCTTTTGAAAAGATGATAAAGGAGTAAACAGCACACATGAGCCCACTGGAAATTATCCAACACCTTCTCTCTTTCCTAAGGGACCAACCAGGATATCTTCATAGAAAATCCGTGTGGCTTTGTGAGACTTCCAGGTGAGGAACATCATAATTCTCCTTCTCCATGTGAAACAAAAAATTTTTAGACTCAGCCTATTTCCATGCTGCAAAAACCCTAGTGCCATGTCTGTTGAGTGTCACTTTGATGTGTGAATAGTTGTATTGGATTGTTTTGGGGTCTTCCTGTTTCTCCAATAAAAGTAATGAATTTGCAAACTGAACATGAGCCATGTTCTCTCCAGCAGGGATCATTACCTACTATCAATTAAATTATGAGGCCAAAGTCACCACTGACCAAGACTTACCAAGTTTCCAAATGTTCTGTAATACCAACAGAAGTATAGCAATCATATACTTTGCTTTAAAAAACAAAAACAAAAACAAAAAAACAAAACTTAAACCTTGGATTGGCAATACAGTTTGTCGGCAAAATCTGGCCTAGCAACTGTTTCTATAAATCAGGTTTTATTGGAACATGACCATGCCCATTCACTTATGTATTTTCTATGGCTTCTTTTGTGCTACAACTGCAAAGTTGAATATTTATGACAGAGACCATCTGATCAACAAGGGCTAAAATATTTACTATCTGGCCCTTTAAGAAAGTATTTGTTGACCCCTGGCATTAACCATTACATTATTCACAACATGGAATACTTATCCTTCAACTCTACCCTCCAAAATAGAAACGATAACCATCTACTGTATCAAAATCCCAGTAAAGAGAAATTATGAAGACTATTGTAAGGTTGTCCAATTTATCCATTCCCCTAGATATTCCAGCTTCTAGCCATAGAGTCATCTGGACATATATTTGATACAAATCAACTTACTTCTCACCACCTACTCATGACAGAAATGGATTTATTAAATTGCATTTTAATTTCATATCCTCACTTTTACTGCAGGGTCTGCAAGGCACTGTGTTATAAAACCCAATTTTGCAGTCACAAATATTGTTGCAGACAGTATGAAACTCCACATGAGACATTTCCTGAAGAGCCAAATGTTAGGAAAACCTTTCCTTCCCTGAGAAACTGGTATTTTTGTCTTTCTTACAATAAGAACTTTATAATTAACCATAGTTCCCTTTTCAATATGGCTGCCAGGACACTTAATGCCAAAACTGAGGTTCAGCCCAAGTGGATCCTTATGACTTACATAACTATAAGTTTTTCTTCTTCTGTTCTTGACTCTCTATATTTATTTATATGTTCCCTAGTCTTGATTTCTGTTTCTTATTTATACTCTAACAACTTCGTTATGTGTGTTTTTGCTGCCACAAATCCTCTTGAAAAAAAGAAAGCCCAGCACAAATGAATAAAATAAATTCCCATCACAGCCTTAACTCTAAAGTGTTGGAATTGCTGAATTATGTCTTTCGGTCCTTCATTAGCTGATAAGCTTCGGGAGGGCAAAGCGTTATGCTCCTTATTTACCATTTATCCACACAGCCTAGGACAACACCTGGCACACAGGGGGCCTTCCTTAAACATTTCTTGAATGAATGCCATTGCGTGTTCAACAAGTGGAGTGAGCACCACTGGAAGGCCTCCTTCTACATTTTAGAAGGACTCACAGGCCAGATGAAAACACTGTGAACTTGGGCTAATATATTCACCATGAAAGGCAGTTGTGAGAGATAAATAATAAATAGAAATTACCTGGGATGTCATCATTATGGAATCTACTCTACTGTATTTACTCATCCCACATTTTTAGGGCCAGGGTTGGTTTTGGCTAAAAACAATTGAGTAGAAACATGAGGGGTTCCTGTCCCCAGTTGTACGATCTTAGACAAATCATAGCATAAGCCCATTAACTGCAAACTTTGCTGCACATTGGAATCATCTGGGGTTTTTTAAAAATATTGATACTTGGCTCTTACCACAGACACTGTGATTTATTTGTATGGGGTGTGACTTGAGCATTAGGAATGTAAAAGCTCTCCAGTGATTCTAATGTGTAACCAAATGTGGACTCCATTTTAGTGACCTTTTTTCTCTGGGTCCCCTGCCTCATAGATCAAGTGACTAGACCATACTACAAGTCATTCTCAAGGAAGATCACTTTAAGATTGAAGCTTTCATAAATATACTACCATTGGCCTGGGATCTTAGGAGGGCCATAACACAGGGGGATAATAAAATATCATCTTGCCGCTCAGTTCTGAAAGCCTCCTAGTGGCTTGTCAGAAGAACCATTAGAAGTATCTTGTCTTGAGCCATCTGACCCTAAGCATAATCTCCTAAGGAATTCCTGAAGCCACAGTGACTGAATCCATAATACCTCAGTTGCCACAGCAGCTATAGGAGCTGGAATGTCCAGGATGACGCAATAGCTACAAGCTCAAAGAAGTGTAAAAGATGCCCTTATCCATTAGAAGATAATGTTAATTATTGGGTGGGTGTATACAAAGGGCGCTTCAGTCGCAGCTTGGCATTTTTCGTCCCTTTGAGTGCCCGTAGTTATATGACGAAGATTTTGCCCACCTTAGCTTTGTCCCAGTGAAGAAGGGATTGTTAAAGGACTATGTGTCCCCTGCAGGTATCTCCACACAAAAATCCTCTAACCTGCTTCCAGTTATCTCTACAGCATTTATTCCCCACCTCCAGATTCGCCCCCTCTTTGTTTCGCTTTACCTGGAGAGTCAGTTTGGAAATGATACAAGAATAACAACTGGAAAACCCAGGCTTGAATTCTGGCTTGGCCACTTATTAGCTGGTGGTCTTGAGTAAGTCACTTAAGCTCTCTAAGCCTTAGTTTCCCAAAAAGTAGAGGAAAAATAATATAGTCCGGCTTACTGGGTTGTTGTGAGCATCAAATCAGAAAATGTATGCAAAAAGTGCTTTGAAAATTATGTCACCATATAAATATTATTATGTTAAAACTTTTCATGAAAATAGTGTTATTCTCTAAGTCGTTCAACCTTCCAGATTTGCAAAAGATTGCTAAATAAAGCCTAAATGGTGATGGTTTGTGATGGCATGCTACATACTTATTTTAAATTAGGCCAGAATAAGATTAATTTTATTTTAAGAACTTTGCCATGCCTTCTGAAATC